CAACATATTTTTTGTATGTGTTTTTGCATATAAACTTCATGTGTGAATCCATAACATACTATTTGAATACACATATCTTAATTACAAATTCTGAATTAATTATAAATATACATAACATTTTTCGTACTATTTTAAATTTTAATATTATACTTTTTTAGAATTGTATGCTAAGCGTCGTGTGAGATCTTTACTGAAACGTGCATCATAAATGTGAAGCGCAAAATTACATTCTCAGCTATGAACACAGTATCGAGCTCAGCATTAAATGTTCTTATATGTGAAAGTAAATCAGAAGAATCTTTTGATATAATTTCCCCACCCGTGGAAGTCTCGTATAGTACTGTGACCATTGAGTCAACTACAGCGCAAATTTGTTCAAAGTCTTCATCACTATTAAACAGTTTATTTTTAAAAAATTCTTCAAAGCTTTTGCCTTTACCAGAAGCTACTACTAACAATTTGTTTAGCGAATTGAATACAAGGAATTTAGACAATAGACCGTCCGTTACTCCCATTTTTAAGCGTAACATTTCAAGACAAACGACAATTTCACAAAATACTGTTGTAAGAATATGCTGTCAACCTCAAGAAACAATAATCCAACACCACCGGCAACTACAATTGGGGGAAGTATGCCTTTGCAAGCCAACAATACGTCTTCACCGACTAGCAGTCTTCAAAATCTGAAAGGTGAACATTTTTCTACACTATCACCTCTTAACGGTAAGTGTTGTTTATATAATATAATTTTTTTTTTAAAATCGAATGAAATATTTGGACATTAATAGTTTCAATCAAATTATAATGTTCGATAAAGTTGGTTTTAATAAAAAATCATTTAAGTTTTGCTTAGTCAAAAAAACTTTAAATAAATAACACATTTTAATACTTGCTTCGCAGTAATAGCGTTTTCCAACTTAATTTTTCTGTCGCTTTTCATCTGTAAACAGGTTGGAACTATGATACCACATGCATATCTCGTACATCTCCGTTAAATCGCCTACGCTATTATCGCTAAATTAACCATTGGGTATATCAAAGGTCTTGGCTCAATGCAAGCTGGCTAAGCTTGCATGCCTTTACCACTCTTTTGTTTAATGCTTTTATTACCGAAAAAGCATTTTGAATAAGTGCATCAAGAAGGACATAAGTGTGGAATAAATACCGTTAAGGTAGAACAGAATGTATTAATTGTCGGGGGCCGTTTTGATTTCGTGATTTTAATGATTTTTTTACGGCTAACTTTTATTTATATAGATATGAAGTAGCGAAGGGAGAATTTTCGAAAACTATAAAATACCATGCAACAAAAAGTTGTTAACCCAATTTTATGTACAAAAACTTAGAAAAAAAATGCAATAAAAAAAAATAGTTTCATAGAATTCTATCCTTTCATTTTGTGCAAAAAAATTGAACAATTACATTAATTAAAAAGAACATAAAAAAACATTAAATTTGATATATCACACTTTGTAGTTACTTTTCAATAGGGCGAAAATCTTAGTTTTAATTGTGATGTTAACGAGTATTAACCATTAACCTATTTTAGATGACTTTGCAAAGCATTCAGCACAGGGTATATTCTGCACTTGTTGCATTAAGTCGACTACAACATAGGGCGAGTTTCGAAACGTTAAAATACTTTCGAATTATGCGGTTACGAACTCTGCATTCTATAATATTACTTTACAACAATAATTTGCATTTTCATTGTTGCTAAGAATTTATGATAAAATATTTGTGAACCTAAGTGATGTGCAGTTTGCTTTTGTTTGCGCATCAATAACTTTACCAATGCTTTTGGGAATATGATACATAGTATTACTCGGATCTCTTGACGAAGCTCGGTTTCTTGCTCTGCGATATGGGATGCTTGGACTTCGCGACAGCCAGACAGAACTGGGCGTTGGGGTCGAACGAGACGCAGATGAAGAAGCTACAGGCTTGCCAGAACACCTCCCTCAGGACCGCGACAGGAAACCTCCTGATGTCGCCGGAGCATCACTTGCACAGTGAAGCATTTATGCTACGAGTTAAGGAGCATAATGCTTTGCTCTGCAAGCAGTTCCTATTGGGATGCTACCGCAGGGAGCACCGCAGTAGGCCCCTAATAGAAGCTGAACGTCCACATAGGCACATCAGAAAGGGAGTACTAAACTTAATGGACACAATCCAGCAATATATACAACAAGCGCTGGACAGGACAGGACGGCGACAAGCACTGAACGCCATTCACCAGGAGTCAGTCAACACCTTCAAGGACTCTTTTCCAGTGAATAGCGTACTCGGAGTAAAATCACCACTCATAGCTCGAGCTACCTCGAGAGACCCGCGTGGCCCTGACACAACTCAGGTCTGGATATCGTAGCAGGTTAAACTCCTAATTATCCAGATCCCGGTAATCCCCTAATCAGGTATCTCAACCCGAAGATTCGGCGAATAGTAAGCAACCTGTAACCTGCTGTACTGTCGAGTCTTGATGATAGAACCACCGCTGCCGTCAAGAAACTCACGACAGCCGGCTCTACGTACCGGAGTTGAGCATTATCCGGCCAAGGGCTGTTACCTTTTCGGTGATCTAAGCTCTACTCAGGCCTTAAGACACATATGGCGTGGTTCTCACGTTATGTGCCTCCACGGCAATACTCTTCAGCACCTTTACCTATTTTAGGTAACCACCCACAGATCTCTATGTTCTCACGAAGCTCCTGCCAGTCCTCCCGAGGGCTACCCAGCAGTTTCTAGTCGTCGCACAGGGCAGAAAGTATTTGTTACTGAGTGGAGCTAACTTTGAATTAAAACACAAAACCGTTTTTACTGCTCCACTTCGTTTTATTTATTCTTATGAACTGTTTTTCTAAGCTAAATATTGCTAATATTATACGTAATGTTGAATTCGCTAAATGTTGTACATTGTTATTTTATATGTGAAATTATTGTTCGTTAATGCCGAATTATTGGTCAGTGCTTCAAAATTTATTAAATTTAAAGACCCTTAACAAATTGCATGAGTGCTTTACCTAAATAATTTTCGTGAGAATCGCTGCAAAACAACAAGCGACGACAACTGATTATGCTTATGCGATACAGCTCTTAATTTCATGCATTGGTCTTTAATTCTGCAAGTTAAGCATAAGCTGCGGTTTTGGTGCTATTAGAGTTTGTTAAGCTGCTGGAGATGTTCACATAACTTCTCCCTAACTTGCTTTAAATTTCTCACGAATTTTTATTCTAAGCTTTGAAAGTTTTTTTTATATATGTTTACAATTATAGTGATAGCTATTGTTAATAATATAGTTAAAAAGATTACAATAATTAATGTTGAATTAATATATTTGTGGGATTTCAGTTCTTCCATATTATTGACATTGTCTATTTCGTTTAAGACTATTTCAACTACTGATAACGTTAGCGCCACCTATACTACACACTTAATATAATATTTATATGGCAGCTCTAGATGAATTTCCTCTTACAGGCCTATTCTCACTGTTACCGGCAAAGTAAATTTTGTTACTTTTCTTTGGACCCGAAATTGAATTTGGTACTCTGGCGAACTGGTTACATTGTTTGAAAAAACTTTGGCAGCTCTGCTTTTTTCGCCCTTATCAAATTACATATTCCAGTTGGTAAAGTAAAAAAGAAGATTATTAATTTGTCATAAATATTTGATACTAATTTTGAAAAATATGCTTAACCAAAAAAAAAAAAAAAAACTGAATGAAAACGCTATATTCCAAATTAAAAGGGCAATTTTTTATTTCGCAAATTTCAAAGCATACCCCTTTTTACATTTTTTTCTTCATTTTCAATGAATTCTAGGCCTAAAATATGCCTACTCATTTTGGCTTTTATTTTTCCTCAAACTAACAACACAAAATCAAACATTAGATTTTTTGTTACCTCCTATTACGCTGGTAAAAAAATTTACAGGATGACAGTGAACTCAGAATACGAAATAGTAACAAAATTTACTGAATGGTAAATGGTCTCGCCCACAACCGGAAACCGTACTTCGTTGGGTTCTGGGGGCAACTCGGCTTCGCTGAAAACACCGGGCAGTCTCGCTTCATGACTCCAATTGTACTGCAACCGTAGCACTTTATCCCATTCCTTCAGTCTGAAGAGATATGCCCGAATCTCCTACAATTAAAACATCGGGTATTCGACACCGGCTTAAAGCTATCAACAAGGTCCGGCTATGCTACCTCCGCGACCTCTAAACTAACCGAGACATAAGCCAGGTCCGGTTCTAACAGACACTTAGCCTAGAGGCTGAACCTTCCCCTAGGCACATCAGAAAGGGAATACTAGATTTAAAGGACACAATCCAGTATCACACACAACAACCGCTGGACAGGACGGCGGGTTAGGGGCTCAAGAATTTACCTGTGGTAAGGTATGCCTGTCGTAAGAGGCGACTAAAATCCAATAGTTCTCGCGACAGTCGGGTCTTTATACCGGAACGACCCGGATTTTTTTCCGGCCAAAGACTGTCACTCCCGCAATATTCCTCGAAAACCAATTCGGGGAATAATTTGCGGTTACAACAACAACAACAACGGCGTACCGACAAGCACTGAACGCCATTCACCAAGAGTCAGTCAACACCTTCATGGACTCCCTTCTAGTGAATGGCGTACTCCGAGAAATACCACCACCCGTAGCAGACAACGAGCTCGAGCTGCCTCGAAATACCCGCGTGACCCTGACACAACTCAGGTCTGGATATGGTAGCAGGTTAAACTCCTACCTATCCAGACTAGACCCCAGCATACCCAACGTATGCCCTGCATGTGGAGTGTCGCCACACGACACTAACCACCTCTTCACATGCCCCCTCAAACCCACTCATCTAACCCCCCTCTCCCTTTGGTCCAACCCCGTCGAAACAGCTCGTTTTCTGGACTTACCACTAGATGACCTCGGCGACTTAAACTGATCGAACCTGTGCCTAAGCGAGTTAATATCGTTGTTTCGATATTGAGTAAAATAATATATTTTTCACTACGCTGAAATGCGTGATCTTTATTCATATTCTTAAGACTAACTAGTTTACATTAATCTTAGTTATATTTATACTATTTATATGCGTCGGTTGTTATCTGTTTACTAATAGATAACAATTTTGGTTGTTATTGCTTATTCTGCATGTTCATGATAAAGTACGTCAAAACAAGTTTTATTGTTTTGATGCTGTTTACAATTTGGGTGCTTTGTTACTTAAATAATATGCTTGTTTATGTATTCTATAATATTCTCTTTGTCACTATGTTATCATACAAGGTTAAAGGTTGTTTGTCGGTATAGACAATGCTTATGTATATATGTATATACATACGTATGTAACTTAGTACTAACGCCGATAACTCTCCTCCCTCTTAAAACGGAGCGTCCTCGCTGTGCTGCTGCTACGAGTTACTGTTGAAGACGATTCATTTCGATTTCGTATAATTCGTCAATTTGTCTTTGTCTGTGAATCATTCTTCTATTTTCATAGTATCGGAGGAGATGTACCATACCATAAGTGATAACAACTAAAGTAAGGAAACCCACTATGATAAAGAACGTATAATTTACTGGGTTTTCTTCAATAGGTATCAAAAATGTTGAGAGTTTTTGGATATTGCTGAATTTGTAGATTGAGTTTGAGGAAAGGATGCGGAGTACTTCAAGATGTTCGCTATGTTGATTATGCATGATTTCTCTCAGTTGTCGTTGATGATTGTAATATGTGATATTATCGATGGTTGAAGATTCATTAAAGTGTATTAATTTAGGGCCTGATATATGTATGTTGTTCCAAATGTGCTAGTAATCTGTAAAAATGTATCCAGTCTCTAAGATGCGGAGTGGGACATTATTCTCATGGATTGTTTTGCATTGTGCTGATTTGCCTTCTAATATTTTCATAGTACAAATGTGAGAGGGTTCGGACTTACAAATAAAGTTACACATATAATTTCTACATTTGGATATTCTTTGATATATGTATATTTTGCGATCTTAGGGTCTAAATTAATTTTACCGTGCTTATGTGCTAAAGGATATACATTAAATAGGCTACATTTAGTTTCGAGGGTAGGATATTTGTATATTGTTATAATTGCTTCTTGTCGGTAACAGATATGGATGTCGGCATATTCTAATATATTAATTATTGGAAGATCTATTGTAGTTTTTCGTGGCTTGTTAAATCGTACACATCCTTCAAATTTAATGTGCTAGAATAAAAATTATTAGTTTTCGCAAAATTTATAGTGTTTGTTATTGATTGGAGTTCATTATAAACTTCTGATATAACAATGTTTTCGGTCATTGTTTTGGGGTCAAGGGTTTCGAGTATTCTTTCGAACTGTGAGTTAATTGTTCTTTTCTTGTTATTATTTTCTATTAGCTTATTAAGTGAAGTTTTTATTTCTACAAGGTCATCGTGGTCTGGTGTACCAGTGATGAACTTTTGGAATTAGTTGATTTTTTTAGAGTTCCGATTTTGTTCACTAAAATTTGAGTTTCAGGTTGGTTTTCTAGATTATATGATGATTTCATTATACTTTCGTATGGCGCTAGTATTTGTGATACAGGAAAGCTGTATCCTGATAAATGTAAACAGGGTCGGTTTCCACTAGAACATATTTCCTATTAGTCAAATCTATTACATTGTCGCAAAGTGCGATAGAGAAAAGTAAGGTAAACACTATTCAGCACATGCCTTTACTCTAATATTGTCCTTATGGATAATTACTCTTTTATTTGTCGTTACTGTTTCGCCGTTGTCTTTTTTGACTATATGTCTCGCGTATTTTTTTACGTTTTTGTTCCGTCTATTGGTCTTTGAATATATTACCTCTCCTTCTTTGTAGTTTAGTTGTTTGCGATTGCGGTTGTGGTATCGCAAAACTCTCTCTTGGTTTTGTTGAAGACGCTATTTGATGTCAGCATACCCCCTTTGATTGAAAAACACGTCCTCGGGTTTCTCGTTGGTTACCGAATGGATAGTTTTGTTGTACTGTCGAACTGCTTCAAATATCTGTTTCATCAGGAACTGTGTTGGTGGGCCAAAACTTTTGCGAGTTCAATCATAGTGCTATGCGTCCGTTCAACTTGACCGTTTGTTGTTGAATGATAGGCTGTGGTTTTGGTATGCGTTATTTGTAGTCGCTTATAAATTTGTTGTGCACATATGCCAGTAAATGTTGACTCGTTATCAGTCATTACAAACTTTGCGTTAGGGTATATTTGTGATAGTATCTCGTCGATGTATTTGTATGTGTCCTTCTTTGATGGTATTTGTCTCAAGTAGCAGAATTTTGAGTATTTGTAGGTTGAACTAATGTACATATAATTATATTATCATAAAAAATAAGTCCAAGTGTATGTATTCGCCTACCTTGTTCGGTACTGGTGCTGAACCTATTGGTTGTTTATTTGGTCGGCGTTCATAATTGTTTGCGAGGCAGATTTCGCAGTCCTGTACTTCCTTTTTACAAGCGTCACGTATATTCGGCCAGAAATATTTGAGCGAAATTTCCTGTGCGTTATTTTTGTAGTTTCTGTGAGCACGTCTATATGTGTCTTGTATGATTTGTTGTTGTTGTTGTTGTTGTTGTTGTTGTTGTTGTTGTAGAGGTTCGCTAACCCCGCTTAGGCACAGGCTTAATTAGTCTAAGTCGTCGAGGTCATCTAATGGTAGGCCCAGGAAAATAGCTGTTTCGACGGGGTTGGACCAAAGGGAGAGGGGGGTTAGATGAGTAGGTTTGAGGGGGCATGTGAAGAGGTGGTTAGTGTCGTGCGGGGACTCTCCACATGCCGGGCATACGTTAGGTATGCTGGGGTCTATTCTGGATAGGTAGGAGTTTAACCTGCTACAATATCCAGACCTGAGTTGTGTCAGGGTCACGCGGGTCTCTCGAGGCAGCTCGAGCTCGTTGTCTGCTATGGGTGGTGGTATTTCTCCGAGTACGCCATTCACTGGAAGGGAGTCCATGAAGGTGTTAACTGACTCCTGGTGAATGGCGTTCAGTGCTTGTCGATACGCCGTCCTGTCCAGCGGTTGTTGTGTGTGTTGCTGGATCGTGTCCTTAAAGTCTAGTACTCCCTTCCTGATGTGCCTAGGTGGAGGTTCAGCCTCTATTAAGTGCCTACTGGGTGCTCCCTGCGGTAGCATCCCAGCAGGAACTGCTTGTACAGCAAAGCATTATGCTCCTTAACTCGTAGCATAAATGCTTCCCTGTGCAAGTGATGCTCCGGCGACATCAGGAGGTTTCCTGTCGCAGTCCTGAGGGCGGTGTTTTGGCAAGCCTGTAGCTTCTTCATCTGCGTCCCGTTCGTCCCCGGCGTCCAGATCGGAGCAGCATAGTTTACGATCGGCCGGCCAATTGCTTTGTAAGTAGCCTGCAAAGTTTCTTGATCTTTACCCCAGGTGCTGCCGGCTAGCGCTTTGAGTATTTTATTGCGACTCTGGAGTTTTGCGGCAATTGCAATCGTATGCGGAGTGAAGGAGTGCAGGCTGTCTAGAGTTACTCCCAATATTTTTGGGTTATTTATCGTCGGAATTTTTTCGTCATCGACCTGTACATCCAGTTCAAGCCTGTATTCCTTCGTCCAGCTGGTGAAAAGGGTAGCCGAGGATTTTGTCGGTTGGATTCGTAAATGTCTTGCAGTGAAGAAGTGGGAGAGATCAGCGAGGTAGCCGTTTACTTTCGAGCAGAGGTCATCAATATCTTGGCCGGACGCCATTATCGTACAGTCATCGGCATACGAGGTTAGGGAAACTCCTTCTGGTGGTGGAGGGAGTTTCGATATATAAAAGTTAAACAGTAGCGGGGAGAGGACACCACCCTGCGGAACCCCCTGTTTAATTTTTCTGGGTTTCGATGTTATACCTCGGAATATTACCGATGATTGTCGACCACTCAGGTAGCCCATGACCCACCTATGCAACCCCGGCGGTAATGAGGATTCCTCACTGTCCGTTAGTAGCACTGAATGGTTGACTGTGTCAAAAGCTTTTGACAGGTCCAGTGCTACTAGGACAGTTCGCGCGCAGGGTGTGCACTTTTCGGAAGCCATGCTGATGCGCTGCTGGACGCAGATGGTGAGTGAAGGTCGGGAGCAGTAAAGCCTCAAGTGTCTTCGCTACTGGGGAGAGGAGAGTAATCTGCCGACAGGACTCTCCTTTGTTGGCTGGTTTCCCCGGTTTTAGTAGCGGGACCACCCTACCCATTTTCCACACGTCGGGTATCTTCAGGGTGGTCAAAGACAGATTGAGGACCCTCGCGAGAAATTCTGCTCCCGCTGGTCCAAGATGTTTCAGCATCAGCATGCTTATTCCGTTGGGGCCGATGGATTTGGAGGCTTTCGCCTTACCGATGACCCCGTGAACCTCCGCCCTGGAGAAACCAAGCACCGCGCTCGTGTTTGGCAGTTTGCGCATACGGCGGGTCACACGTCGTTTCGCTTTGTCTACCGAGGGATGCAATGTAAAAAGACGGCGAAAATAGCTCGCGCATCTCTTCGGGTCCGACGAGGCGCGATCACCGAATGAAATTTCCACCCGGTCATCGCGTCTCGTCGGGTTAGACAGCGACTTGACTGTGGCCCAGAGCTTGGTTGCCCCAGAGGAGAGGTTGCAGGTCCTTAGGAGCTCCTCCCACTTTTTCCGCTTATGACTGTTAACAACTCTTCGAATCTCCGCGTTTAAATCCCTGATTAGGGAATTCCCGGGATCGGAGCTTCGGAGGGTGTCGCGCCTGGTTGCTAGTACCGCTGCTTCTGTCGGAAAATTTGGGCGGATTTCCGCGATTCGGCCTGCCGGGATGAAGCGGGCGGCAGCGGTCACGACGACCCTGCGGAATGAGCGTTCACCAGCGGTGACGTCAGTTGGAGTGGGAAGAGCACTAAAGGCGTTCTCGGTAAATTCCGTGAATCCGGGCCAGTTAGCTTTTTTAAAGTTAACGAATGTCCGGTGGTCGAGATATGTATGGGCAAGTGGTTCGATGCTAACGTCAGCATAGGTCGCCAGACTATACTGTTTATCAGACCAGCACTCGCAATTGTTATGTCTGGCGAGCTTTGGCAATTACCCATAACTCTGGTGGGGATGTTGTCGTTCATTGTGCAGAATGTCGAATCGTCTATCTGTTCCGCCAGCTCCATTCCTCTACGGTCATTTGACAGGCTAGAATGCCAAAGATCGTGATGCGCGTTAAAGTCGCCCAAAACCAAACGGTTTTCGTCCCTGAGTAGCGCACCTATGTCAGGGGTGTATCCAGCTGGGCAACTTGTAACTGGAGGAGTGTATATATTAAATATTTCGAGCTCGACATCGCCTGACCGGATAGCTATGCCCTGACATTCTAGGGTAGTATCCCTGCGGTCGATGTCGCCATCGATGAGATGATACTGTACGGTGTTGTGCAGGATGAACGCTAAGCCCCCACCATGGTCTCGCTCGCGATCCTTGCAGATTATGTAGTATCTGGCCCTGTTCAGAAGATCTGATCGGGCGGTCAACTTGGTTTCCTGGATCGCAGCAATTGACAGGTGCTCCCGGCTCATATAGTCAACTATCTCGTCAATCTTTCCCTGGAGTCCGTTGCAGTTGAATTGTAGAAGTCGGGTCTGTCTCGGGAGAACGTTCGTGATTCGGGGGTGAGGGAGTGATGCGTGGATGGTGTGTGTTGCTGCTGTACTACCCGCGAGAGTTGGTTCCGCACATTGGTGTTGATTGGCGAAGGGTTTGTAGAGACATGCGGGGGCAGACTCCTATAGCATGGGGCAACGTACGCATCGCTCCACTCACGGGTGGTGTGCAGGCCAGAGCACGTCCGAAAGTGACACCAGCCAGAGCATAAGTTGCATCTGACTGAGGTCACGTTCCGACGCACTATGGTCTGACACACGGAACAGACGGTGCGGGGGACTAGGAGCTGCTGGGTAGCCCTCGCACGGGAGGAGGATGAGGAGCTGGTTGTGGGTNATCCGTCGGTCCAGGGTTGGTTTCTACACCAGCCCTGATCAGAAGGATTTGGAGCAACCCAGCTGCGAGGTGTTGCTCCGTTGACGTACTTAGACTAAGGTTACCTGTAGACCTAAACGGGGTTAGATCTCCGAAAGGGTGACAGCCCTAGGCCGGATTAAATCCGGGTGAACTCCGGTGCGTAGAACCGGCTGTCGTGAGAGTAGACTCCGGTGCGTAGAACCGGCTGTCGTGAGAGTAGTTGTTCTTGTTGTTCGGTGTCGGTGATGTCGTCAACCAATTTTTGCACTAGTACGATCGATATGGTTGGAAATGTGTCGATAATGTCATTTTCGACGTAAAATAATATTTTATCGTCTATTTGCAGGGCATTAGTTACCTTTGGCCTAATTATATTTTTTAGTCTTTGCTAGACAGTTTTGGTGTTAAAAAAAGCGTGTGTCGGCTGTTAGAAAATATGTTTTGTGAGGATATTTCGTTGGGATTCTGATCGGACTGTCTTACAATAATTTGATTTCTAAATGTGTTTAGTGGTTGCTTTACTCGTTTGAGTTTTTGTGTTGGGGAGCTTTGTGCTGAATGTTGGGAGTCATCAGAGTTTACAGTGTTGTTTATTTGCTGGCGAGAAAGTGCATCAGCGACAACGTTCTGATGTCCGGATTTGTAAACGAGTTTTGCGCCGTATTCTTCGATGAAATTTTTCCATCTTTTTAGTATTGTATTGGGATTTTTTTCTGATATAGAGAAGATTAAAGATTGATAGTCAGTGTAAATTGTTCAATCTGCTATGCCATACAAGTAATTACGTAGTTTCTGTAGTGACCATTCAATTGCGAGTAACTCTTTCTCATTCGTGGAGTAATTCTGTTCTGTTTCGCTGAGCGTTCGTGAAATAAAGGCTATGGGTTTTCGGTTTTGAGATAATACGGCTCCTATAGCGTAATTACTAGCATCTGTGGGTAATTCGAATGGTTTGTTAAAATTTGCTTGGAAGAGTTCAACTTGGGTTTGCAGTTCCTCTTTTATTTTATTCAGTGCTTCTAGTGCAATTTCGTCTAAGGTGATTTTAATTTTTGCGCTTTGATTTTTTGATATACCACCATTCTATCCTCTGAGGAACGTAGTGAGTGATTTGACGATGGCTGCAAAATTTTTTTTATAAATTTTCTATAATAGCTAGCGAGACCTAGGAAGGGTCTGAGTTCCTTTAGTGTTGTGGGAATAGGGAAATCTTTAATAGTTTGTATTTTTATAGGGTCAACTGTGATCCTGTTGTATTTAATTATATGCCCTAAGTATTCCACATAATCTTGGAAATCTTCATGTTCGCTTGGCGAAGCGCGTTTATTATTATGCGGATATGTTCAATATGTTCTTCGGGAGAGGAAGAATAAATGAGAGCATCGTCTATATAAACATACGCGAACTTCCCGATATATGGTCTAAGGATGTCATCCACGCATCTTGGAAAAATAGATGGGGCATTTTTCAGGCCGAACGGCATACGAAGGAATTCGTACGTAGCTCTATTTACACTAAATGCCGTTTTTTCCCTATCAAATTCATTAATAAGGATCTGATGGAAGCCAGACTCTAAATCTAAAGTAGTAAATACCTTTGCATTACCTAAATTCTGTATGGTCATAGCCACGTCAGGTATGGGGTAT